ATCATTTAGCATTTCATATTCGTCATGAATAAAGTAAACGAATTAATAAAATTGTCCTGTGTAGTATACGTTACCTAGTATACCTGTGATTACAAAAAAGAATGTTATCTTCAGAACTGTTACATAAGCAATAAATAAGATTTAACACGGTTCTGTTATTCATGAATAAAAAATTCTATTATCATGGAGATATGAAGTTAAGTACTGCATTGCAGTATCGGTGGTATCAGTTTCAGTTTGTCATCAGTTTGTATCCAACCTTCTGAGGACCGGAACTAACATATATATTTATTGAAATTTATACATAAATGTTTTCAACGCAATAGTATTATTCGAAAGATGGGATCCATCAATTGGGGAGAATTATTCCCGGGAAGATGGAGTCCTGTCATTTTTATTTCTTATATGACTCTTTTTGTAAGCCAAGGTATGTATATAAATGTGGTTAGGTTCTTTTATGCCTGTTCTATTTATTTACGTATGATTTCTTTACTAATGTTTGTCAAATAACGGAAACACGAACAATCATTGATGTTAATGATAAGGGGAGCAGTAAACCAAAAAATAGTATGAAACTATATTTTATTAATATTTAATCAGAGTGTATTTTACCGGCTTTTTATATATGTATAATTACGTACATATTCTTTATTTTGACGAAAATTTGTGTGATACGTTAAACTGATATATATTATATTTTGAAATTTGTTTTCTATTATCTCAAGTTAAGCAGGAAGATAAAGTATAATTATTGTCATTACAGGTATTATTGTAACTTGGTCTCAAAGAGATGGTCATTACGAATACAATATTGTTTTAGTAGTATTAATGACTGAAGTATTAAAGTTGATAGCTTCTGTAATACTTTATTGTAAAGAGTAAGTAGAACAATTAAATTTTATTACTCTTAGTCTTGACTCTTTAAAAACTTAATTATTTCATTTTCAGCTATACCTTTGTAAGTTTATATCAAGAAATAATTAAAAATAAAACAGGTAAACACATATTTCTTTAAGAGAATAATATTTATGAATATTATATTCTAAAACCGATTGTAGTCAACAAATTATAATCACATGTCTGTAGATGTGATGAATGTTATCAGGACATATCTATAAAAGGAAGTACAATTCCTGTTCCATAATCAAATATTTAAGTCCACAATCACTGTCTTTGATAACATGTGTTAAACTTATGGTAGTATAACTAAATTTTTTGTTTCAGTGCTGTTCTTGTATATGATACCATCATTTCTGTATTGCCTATACAATAATTTGGCATTTATTAATTTGGCTGCATTCGATCCAACTACATATTATGTTTTGTTGCAGTTCCGTGTTGTTATGACTGGAATTATTTTTCAGGTATATTGATACCAGTTTTTCTTAACTATGATGCATATAAACAAAATAAAATATTTATTTTTAAAACAGTTATCTTCTTTCAGGTTGTTTTTAATAAAAAATTATCTTTGAAGCAATGGC